ATATATATATACATATAATATTTAAAGGTATGAACTTAAAGTGGCATTAGCATGTCACTGTATGGAGCATTTAGTGTGAAGCTAAGTACAGCCTTACCGTGCTGCTAGCCTAACCATAATTTTGGCTAGCTGTTTCCTCTTGTTTCCATTCCTTATGCTAAGCTAATCTAATTTTCCGTAGCTTCATATTTAGCGATATGAGCTACCAACCTTCCCATTTAACTCTCAGCAAGAAAGTGAATAAGTGTATTTCCCAAAAACTATTCTTTTAAAAGTGTGCACATGTTTGGGACAGCTGCCTACAGTAGCACTTCTAATGCTTCCATAGCCCCCAGTAACATTCTGGTGACTGCTTGTTCGGTAGGCAGTCAGCCAAATGATTTTCTGTGAGAAGCCATCAATCCCCTCATTAATACACACATGGAGATTAATTTGGTGCTTTTGAGAAATCCTGTCTTCTGTGAAGTCATTGCCATCTGTGTGCTAGAGCACTTGGGATCTCATACAGCTTAGCTAATATGAGTCTTTACTCTCTCTTTTTTTTTTTTTTTACTTTTGAGGCCATTTTATTGTCACATCCGTCCATCCATCCATCATGCATCTTCTCCACATCATGTGCTGTAACTGATCAGCCTGTCGACCATTAAAATATCCTGCAAAAGATTCCTGTTGAGGACGGCCCCATGTTTTTAGCCTCTTAGCAGCTTGGCTCCAGAGATGCTAATGTTGATCCGCCGCTTTGTTCCAGACGGAAATCTCTCAACAACTATTTAATGGTTGGCTGTGATATTTTGGACTGAAATTAATGGTCTGTAGAAAAAAAACCGGTAGAGAAGCATATGAACTGATAATCACTTGTGCACACAACGTATGAGTATTGTGTACACAACATTATATTTTGTTTGCATGAGATACATAAAAACTGTATCTTTTGGGCCTCTGTACTAACCCCACCCCTCACACTCCCTTATTCTCTCCCATTTCGCTCTAGATGGCAAGCAGTAGGTCATGGCATGCACGCTTCTCAGTACTGACCTACCTCCAGATCATGGTTTTCTACAACTTGTTTACCCTGCTCAGCGTGCCTGCCGAGGTGCTCCGCATCCGAAAGCTGGTGATGCAGCTGCTGCTTGATGAACAGCTTGAGGTAATGTATGCAAAAAAAGGCAGCAAACACTGCTTTAATACAGTCATTGCCCCTCTGTAAGGTATAATTGTCACAGGATTATAAATGGCCACTTATTGTCCCCAAGTCTGTCCTCACTAAATCTTAATCCCTCTTTTCCTCTTTTTTTTTCTTCACGGTTATTGCTTAAAAATAACCCTCTACCTCGCTGCTCAGCTCTTAATTTATTTTCCTATTTTGGTGCCTTTCTCGTCTTCTGTGGTTACAGGGATGTTGGTCGAGGACAATCTTGCGCTGCTTTGTAGCTGGTTGTAATTTTAGTGCTCTAAAAATAACATCATAAACCCAAAATATAATGTAGAAGGGCATATTTGTTTTGACTGTTAATCTTGACTAACTGCTGCTAGCTGCTATGTTAATTAATTATTCACGTCTATTTATTGAGTGCAATATAATCAACTTTACTACTGGTGCACTAATACTGCTAATATTGAGTTGCGTCATTTTTTTTGTACAATCCATGTCTCAGTGGTCTCTGGGCTTTTAAAACCTTCTTTAGCCTGTCTCTTTCCATTGATCTGGATGTGCAGGTGAAAATCAATGAGCAAAGAGCTTCACCCTGGTTTTCTAACTCAAAAACAGTTGCTTCTCTTAATATTGTGTAAACTGCATAAGTGTACAGCTGGTGGATGTGTTGTCTTTGTATCATCGTCTATTTCAATGCATCAACCGTCACTCAGTGCTTATTCATAATTTATGCAAAGTGATGCAGGAAAGCAGTGATGTTCTGCAAGTGAATTTTACCTCAGCTCAACTCAGCATCTATGCCTCCTCCCCGTTCTTCCACTCCTCCTCCTCCTCTGCTCATTTGTCCTGTGTGCCTCGCTTTTTCCCCGATCTCCTTGCACTCGCCTCTTTTAATAAATTGTGTACGCGTTTCTCGCCCTAAAACTGCCTCGTGCTCTCCGCCGCATCCTTTATTTGTCGCTTCTGATCTTCACGGGTCTCTCTTTTCTCTTTTTCTTTTAAAAATCTTTCTCTCTCCTTGCTGTCCCTCCTTCTCGCCCAACCCCCTTTCCTCCTTCTCCCTGTAGGTGAGGGACATGGCAGGCACCACCCTCAGTGGTTTACTGCAGTGCCAGTTCTTCCCTCTGGACTCCAGTCTGCAGACACAGCTCCAGACGCTGAGTCAGACTCGCCTCCCCAAGGCCAGAGGAGAGCTGGCCTCCACAGGTACACACACACACACACACACATTTATGTGCACGTCACAATCACACAGTGAGGCAATCACAGTAATACTTGCCCTATTACCCTTTTTTTATCCCAAGGGAATTGTGAACCTTGAAATTCTACGGCCCATTTTAACACTCCGTTTGTGTGTGTGTGTGTGTGGTGTGTGTGTGTGTGTCTGTTTGTGTGTGCAGACTTGGTGCGCCGCCATGCTGGAGTGCTCGGCCTCAGTGCGTGCATCCTGTCGAGCCCCTACGATGTTCCAGAATGGATGCCTCAGATACTGATGGACCTGAGCGACCATCTCAACGACCCACAGCCTATAGAGGTACACACATACACGCACACATTGGTACACACTCTCACGCACTCACATACAAACATCTAGCTCAACACATTGAGAGCTGAAAGAATACAATTTCATTGTCCAATTGAGGAGAAAATTGTGTCTTTGGCCTTTTTTCAGGCATGAAGAAGACATACAATGTAATCTGTAGTGCGGAGTGTGAATAATACATTACAGTGATAGGGAGCCAATGATGATGATAATTTAGTGCTTGAAAGAGATGAGAAAGAAAATACAATACAGTTAAAATATATATTTGTGATTAGATGTCACAAAAGCTACTGACAATAATGCACAAATTGTATATGAAAATAGTAGAAGTAGGATATTTTGTGCAGAATAATAAGGGATACAATATCTTGGTTTCTTGAGACAGACTCATTTGTAGTCAAAATCAGTTGTGGATGTCTGGCTAGACACACCTCCTCCTCTAAATCTAATCTAATCATTTTGTTTGAAGGCCATAATGTAAAATGAATGTACTTGATGTTTAAGTCATGAATACATCCTTGGTTATAGCAATCATCAGTTTAATTCCCTGTTTTTGTGTCCTTGTTGAACCACACTAACTTCTTACTCCAAACTTGTTTCACTTTAAATAATTTCTGCGTTGCGTATTTAAATTATTATATGTGGCATTTTAACATCAATAACTTATTATTACCTCATCAGTTTTTAATTCATGTAAACAAATGAGACTGTTCATGCAAAGATTGTCAGCTGCTGTTGGATCCAGATCAGCAAATGGCTTTGTTTTACCGCCTCGAAAAAAGGAACTATTTACTTTGCAAGTTATATTCAGCCTCTTTCTAGTTGCACTGTTAAACTTCAGGGTAGCTCTCATTGGAAGAACAGATAGTGGCTGTTACCAAAAAGGCTGTTATCAGCTCTTAACTTTCTTTGCTCCTCAAAACAAATGAAGCAACAAAAAGAACAACCAACATCCTCGTTATTACTGCAGAATTTAATGGAAATGTCCTAATTTTGAGACACAAACACACCACTTTAAAATCCTCTGAAATACACATTTTACTCCCATGATGGAACATTATAGTTCTCCATGGGTAAATGAGCTCTACTCAATCTCTGAGGGGGCTGATATGCTGTAAATATATAGGAATAATTTGTGATATAATCTTAACACCCTTCAAAGTAAACTTTTAATCAAGTTTTGAATAAAAATTAGTTGAAAATAACTTGTCAAAGCCAAAAATAAGTATTTATACATGTTCTTAACAAAAGTTTGGTCCTGAATCTTTTGTTACATCTGGCTTATCTAGAAGCCAAAGATCTTTGGTTGCACTGGTGCAACACTGAATCTTTTTCAATTCGGTACAGTACATACACTGATCATTTAAGAACTCAAAGTTTATTTATGACTCAACAAAACCCTGAAATATTCTCATGTGCAGATGGTCAAAAATTGGAATGGCTGTTAGACTGTGATGTGTTTAAATTTGCTTGCTTTGTCTCACAAGCCTGGAAATGAGACAAGATGGAGCTATTTAATTCATATTTTCTCTGAGTACTGCATAGTAAATGTTTTTGTCAGTGAAAATTATTCAAATTAGTTTATTTTTAGACCTTTTTTGCACCTTACTGACATTTTGGGTGTAAGAAATAATCAGATCTGTTAGTTAAGTAAAGGTAGAAATGATACAAGGTTGTTATGAGTAAAAGTCATTAAAAGCTGTATATATAATAATATAATATAGAAGTATTAAAAGTAAAAATACCAATCGCACAGAAAAAATTCCCCCTCTGAGAATGCTGTATATATTATTGGATCATTATTACTAATGCTTAAATATGTGGCAATAAGTGGCATTTCACTGTTGTAGTTAGGCAACGTTGAGCTGATTTAATCTACTTTTATATATATATACTGTACACGTTTGGTAACAATGCAACACACTTTGTTTAAATTGATGTTAAGTTGATCTTAATATCCAAAGTGACTAATATTACAGTTTTAAAATAAATAAATGTTGTGGAGTGTAAAAAGTACAGTATTTGAATCTGAAATGAAGTGCAGTATAAAGTAGCATATAGTAGTAATAGTAAAGTACGAGTATGATATTTAATAAATGTACTTGCATTCCACCACTTTATTTGTAATAATGTTTTAAAATGTGTGTTGCATTTTGGATCTTTTTTTGTGTCTTTTAAGTCTGTGCAAGCTGTACGTAGATGTATGTCATTCATTCATGATAATTTGTATTTTTCCATGGTGTCAGTAATGATGATTGTGTGTTTTTGTCCCAAGATGACTGTGAAGAAGACCCTGTCGGAGTTCAGGCGCACTCATCACGACAACTGGCAGGAGCATCGTCAGTGCTTCACTGATGACCAGCTGCTTGTGCTCACAGACCTCCTGGTGTCGCCCTGTTACTACGCCTAGACGGCCAGCTGCCTTTCCAGGTCCTTTACAGACTGACTGACCAGTCCCATAGAAAATAATTACACCTTTTAGCACTTTTGGGAACACCGGTCTTCTGTGCAGCCTGTTAAAATAGTGTATGATGTTGCGGTGGCTGAGAGCCCTGCCTCTGGAAACTCACGTGCCAATGTTGGCCTTTAGTAAACTCGGCAGAAAAGCAGTTCTGGGAAAAACGGTTTCAAATATTTAACTTACTTGGTGTGTTTATTTTGTCTCGCCAAGCAGCTAAACAGCCCCAAAGGTGGCGACTTAACTTTAGAGATAACCACCCTTTAGGTGTATTTTTTTTGTGTGGTTATTATAGAATACATTCAACTACGGATTTTACACACATCTGCCAGAAACGTCTGTATCTTTTCAGATAACTATTTGTCATTACAGTGTTTCAGTCTACGTACCTTCAAAAGATTTTTAAATAATACGTAAAAAGATGGAACTGTCCATTTATTTACTAAATATAAGAAAAACATATATAGTGATATATATATATGTAGAATATTAAAAAATGACATTAACATTACAAAATACTACAAACTCTAATCTTATTTCTAAAGTTATAATGTAATCCAACACTTATCATGCTATGTGATAATGTTTCTAATACTGTATAATACATAATACTGAATATTGATATAAATTATGTAATTAATATAAATGTATATACATTATACACGTATAGTATAAGATGATATACACGTGCTGTAATAATATATTATCATATTCATATACAGTCCACTACAATAGCTCAACACTGAGAACTCACTGTTGTTTCCTGTTCAATAAATTCACTCATTTGTAAAGAGAGATGTGTTTTATTTTAGAGAGGAAGAGTGTGGCATGCTGTATGTTTGCCAGGGTTGAGTCATCACGTAAAATACCTACAGTTTTATCTGCATACATCCACATCACATAGCTATCCACAGAAGATTATGTTCAGCACAGAGACGGAGATAAAATGTAGATCAGATGTTTGTTTCTGCACGGATAGTTTTTGTGCGTTATGCTGTACAGATGCTGCTACAGAACAGATTCAGTGTAAACATACAGTGTATGTTTAAGAAAGACAGGATCACAGATACATCTGTCACCATTTTTATTCTGCGTGTTGATTCTTTTCTGATGCACTGCTGTTGACCTGGATATGCTCACTGTGCTGATACGTATGTTGGCAGAATGAGAAAAGGCAAAGCTGGTATGTACAGTCTGGAATATCAGGAAGAGAGATAGAGGGCATTTACCAAAGCAGAACTATCTGGTTAGACAATCAACTTTAGAAAGAGTTAAGATAATGCCTTCCAAAATAGGTTTTTGGGCATGACTAATGATGCCCATAAACCTAATATTCAACAAAAATAGGTTTTGTTTCAGAGACTAAAAACAGTGTTATAACTTATCTGGCAAACCGTGTTCTCCTTTTTTAAACCATTTGAATCATCCAGGTTAGCCCAATAAAATCAGTATGGAGACTCAATTATCTGAATGAAATGGTAATCTTATATTTAAAAGGCGATCTACTACATTACATGGAGATGTAGTGTTAACCAGAGTATGATAAGAACAAGACTAAGAGTCTACAGTCATGCTGAGGCTGCACTTCGGCACAGCGTTGCTTTGAGCAAAATGCTAACATGCTGATATTTAGCAGGTATAATGTTTACCATGTTCACAATCTTGCGTGTTAGCATGCTAGCATTTGCTAATTAGTGCTTACCATAAAGTACAGTTGAGGTTGATGGAAATGTCATTAACCGTAAGATTTTGATGATGGTGATTCGAGCTAATGTTAAGGAATTACAAACGTGATTTTGAGCCTATTCAGTACATGTACAGTAGTGCTATTTTGTTAAAGTCAGAAGGATTCATGCTCCGGAGTGAATGTCTGTACCAAATTTCATGGAAATCGATCCAGTAGTTGTTGAGATATCTCTGTCTGGACCAAATTATGAACTGACTGCTGGCTGAAAAAGGTGAGAAGGATGACTCAGACCCATCCAAATGAGATATTTTTAAGTCCGTAAGCCAAGGTTTTCTCAGTCAGGGCTTTGTGTTGAGCAACAAACTCATGAACACACAACTTTTTTTTCAAAGTTGATACGAGTTTTGGTTATTTCTTTTGAGAGATTTTTTTTCCAAGTTGTGATTCTCTGCACTCTCATTGGTATAAAGTGGGTGGGGCTCAGATGGAAAAAAAGCAATGCAAAATACTTCCATGCACCAATCTGGATTTGGCAACATAGTTATAAGGTTGTTTGCTATTGTTGCCAACAATCCCATTGTTAAACATATCTGATCAAACCACACCCACACAGTCCAGGTGAGGTAGATTTGCAACGTTTTTTGAGTGTTAAACTGTAGTAGTTCACTCATACTTACTAAAATGTATGAGTGAACTACTCTCACAACACATGTATCTGTGAATGCAGATACAGTATTTATTCGTTGAAACATTCGGCCGTAGTGCGTTTGAATGTGGGAGGGAGGGACTAAATCTACATGTTTATCCAAAGCATAATTTGCAATCACTCAACATGTAGTTTAGATACAATACCTTTATGTATTTGTCATTTGTACTATTTTGAAGCAGCTTTCAATACATTATTATTGTATTGTTATATTATTATTAATTGCTGTGTAATGTAACATTTTCTTCACATATCTTTGCAGTGTGACACTAACGGATACAAACAGACCTTGTCAACATATTTTCCATACCCGACAAATATCCTTATTGGCCCTACGTGTACCTTGAACCCTGAGATTATTTGACAGCTATCCAACCTGCTATATATCATTGATCAAGTCGTATTATCTAATCACAATCAACCTGTTTGAGTGTGTGAGTGTTTCTGCCCTTTGTTTAGTCTTTCCCTCACTAACGTTTCTAGAGAAAACAAGTGTGCGTCTGAGTCCTCAGGCAGAATTGTCCTCACAGCATCAGCCAGCTCAAACAGGTACTCCGTATTTTGCCCGCTTGGACCGGTAGAGCTGACGATCTGGTTGGCTATCTCCTCCAGAGGGGCGGGGCCGAGGTAGTCTGGATTGTCCTGAGAGCCTATGTACAGCAGCGCCTGGTTGGGCGGCGGAGTGAGTGGTGGACGGGGGTGAAAGGTCACCGTGATGACCTGATAACCACCTTTTTCTCTGTAGTCGAGGTAGCTCTTCACTTCCTGCTCCCGGCCCGTCGGCAGCTTGTAGGCGACGCCCCAAACGCATCCCTGCAGAGACAGAGTGACAGAAAGTAAATAGGTAGCTTAATATCTGTAGGAAATTATGCAGAGTGACAAACTCTACACATAAAGAGAGTGGAAACAAAATTCCTTTGATTTTCTTTAACTTCGACTAGTAAAAAGCAAAAATGCCAAAAGTTCTCAGTTTTTTAGTCTTCTATGAGAGTAAACTGAATATCTTTCACTAATATCTGACATTTTATAGACCACAAAATGAACGGATTCATTGAAAAAGAATTTGGCAGAGTATTCAATAATGAAAAGGATCATCAGTTGCAATCCTACTTGAAACTAATACTCATTTACTTTTCCTCCATATACTATTAATTAAAGCCTAATCATATGTTCAATATTAAGGTAAAATAGTTGCTGTTTTCTTTATAAAATGTCAGAAATAATGAAAAATGTCCACCAGAGCCCAAGGTGACATCTTCAAATTGCTTGTTTTGCGTGATGCCCTGTCTACAGTCAGTGATTGCTTTGTCCGTTCTGGGCTACTATAGAAACATGGCGGTTCAACATAGCGGACTCCATAAAAGGCGACCTGCAGTGATAAAAATGGTTCATTCTAAGCTTAAGAAAACAAGATTCCTATATTCATGTGATTATACACTAATGAAAACATACCTATGACTATTATATTACATCTCTGTCAATAGATCCCCCTAAATGTTACACACTGAACCTTTAATGAATTACCTAAATTAATAATCAACTGTCAAAATGGAGTATATTGTATTTAAATCATATATTTAACATAATAAATGTTATTTTCTCTATTAGCTAAAAACCCCCTTTTGATCATTTCTTTTTTTTTTTTTAAGCAAAAAGGCTAAAATTCTCTGGTTCCAGCATTTGACGTCCTTAAATGTCAGACTGTTAGACATCAACTGTTTTCAAGCAATTTATAACCAACAATTCATTTATTCCTCAGGAAAGGATAGTCGGGAAAACCAGTGATTAAAATAATCTTTAGTTACAGCCCAACCACTGTTTGTATTAATACACTGTTTGTGACAATAAACTGTGACGCTTGTAGAAAGATGAACGGTTTATTTCACATATTTATGTAATACTTATGAGTCACCTCTAAATGCGTGTTTTGTAGATGCTTTCCCTGTTCTCAGTACATTATAAGACATGCTCCGTATCTTTTATCTCTTTCCCACCAACTGTAGCAAATTATCTCTCATCCAAGGTCAGAATACAATACGCCGTCTCTCCTTTGTTTCAGCTGTGTGAGATGCCATCTCTTTTCCTGAGCAGTACACACTCTTGTTCGCCTTGTTCAGCGTGTGTCTCATTTTATGCGTGTGCCATTAAATTAAACATACATAACCCCGTGACAATCCAAATGAGAGTGGATTTCTTCACCTCTGGCACTGTTAATGCTTTAGTAAAGCAGTGTCTGATTTCCATATGGGAAAGCAGGATGTAAGTGAATATAACCTTAAAACTCTCTGCCTTCTATTAAGTGGAATCTCATTTTCAAAATCTCGCTGTTCACTTAATTGCATTGTTATTTTGTCCGCCTCTTAATTACACAAAATTAATTTAATAACAAGGGGGTGAATTATGACCCTCAGGTGCTGATAATCTATTGTTACTGTGTAAATAAAATGTGATTTCGTTTGTTTTTCTCGCTTAACACAATCTGTCTCCTAATAACAACATCACATTTACAGCCACTATGTCAAATTTAATTAAAATCATAAAGGCTTATATCATTTTTAATAGGACACCCGCCAACTAACAATGACAAATCATAATGATAAGGTAGGTGTTCAAATAAAAGGGTGAATAAACACCTTATTTTAGCACACCTGATTGTTTGTTGAAAGGTTCCTTGAAATGTTCCTTTTGTTCTTCCCGCATACTGTACATTTATTTGACATATTACAAAGGAGAGCGGCAAAAAATAGTTGACTAAGTGATAGTAAATGAATCATCTATTAATCTGATGAGCATTTAATCGTTTTCCATAACAAAACCACGACCATTCTGCTGAACTGGATAGTTGAAGCTCTTAGTTGACAGAAAAAGAATACTCAATAACAATTTTGATAATAAATGGTCATTTATCAAGCAAAAATACAAAACATTTTCAGGTCCCAGCTTTTCCCTATGTAAGTATTTATTGTTCGCTGACTGTACTGGGTTTTGGTGGGACAAAACAAGACATCCTTGGGCTCTGGGAAAGTATATTTCCCTTTTTTTCTGACATTTTATGGACAAAATAATTGATCAAGAACATAACTGACAACGTAATAGACAATTAACTTAATCATTAGTGATGCATGTAAGTAATGTATGGTGTCATCCTTCCATCTAACCTTTTATTTACTGTGGTTTTATTGTTTTTTATTGTTTTATCTTCCATTTATTGTTTATTCTATAAATTGTTACTGGTGTTGCTATGGTTATTAGTATTTGATTTCTGTTGTTTCACCCTGTAAAGCACTTTGTAAACCAGGTTTTGATTAATATCATCATTTTTATGAAGTTTAGGATGGGGTATGTCTTACCTCAGGATCCTCCACCAGTGTCACAACCCGGCCAGGCTGTACACAACACAGACGGAGGAACAAGGACATTGAATAAGCAATGAAAAACTCATACAGTAAAGCCACCAAGTAGGATTATGTACGGTTTAGAAGTCTTATAATAAAAACTGTAGAGGGATACTGTACAAATATCACCAAAACAGAGTACGGATTTATTCAGCTGCAGCATATATTCCCAATAATTCCCATATTAATAGTTAAATAAAGTATATGTTTAAACCCTGAGTAATAACAACACATGAACTCTGTTTAAAAAGGTGGATAATGGCTTGTGGATCTGAATGGCAACATCCTAAAAACTTCCTAGAACTTTTTGTACCCAACTCTCTCTGATAGTTAGTAGCAGTGTTATACCATTATAATACCATTAACATTAGAGGAGCTCTCTCATGCCCTGCCTAACCCCGGTTTTTGACTCATCTGACAACACAAAGCCCCCCACAGACAATCAAACTCTGTATGGCAACATTGCATCAGTGAATTGTGCTAGCTATAGTTCGGTCACAAAGCCAAATATCCCCTCAAGTATAACTCACCTTCCCCGGTACACCACGGTGGTCGGTGCTGCCCTGCCAAAACCGACGGCTGAAGCCTTTTATGAAGCCAACTCTTTTTTCCTCATAAGGAAAATCCACCTTCCATATGAGAGACCCGTAACCGAATACCCACATGATAAGACGTTAAGCTAACGCCGGTACCTTGACGACTGCAATGGACGGTTAGAGCCGGACAACGTTTTAGGTCTGACAGCTACTTTATAACAGTGGTCATAACATTATAATGATTGGCATGTACACCTGTAACAGCGGAGGTAATGGCAGTTCAAACGCGCTCATTAAGGACCTGCCCCGAGGGGTTGGGGGGGCTTTAGCTTTAGCGGTCAAACGCGCCTACTTCCGCTTGAGAACTTTCAGAATAAACCGCGGTGTCCCAACATATTGCAGATGTTTTGATGACATTGACTATTTAGCGAGGTTCCAGTCAGTCAGTCACAATGTAAGGATGCTTTTTTGTAGTATTTTATTTTGGTAGGCTATGTCGTATCACCCTAAGCGTGCCTTTTAGATGTTTTTGCTTTTATTTTGAAAGCAAGACGCCATTCCGGGTGTTTTTGACTATCTTAGTTTAATTTGAGACAAATGGTCTGCGCAAACATCTGTCCTGTCGGTCACAACTGATGAACAGTTTTTTCTTCATTTTATGCCTTTTTTGAAATTAGCAAATAGTTCTGACATCTTAATAACCATACAAGGCTGTATACAGACTCCGTTTGTTACTTTATCTTATGTTTCTGACAGTAAACTATATGTTTTAAAACTAAAACATGTTTAACTCTTTAAATTTAAAGGCCAGATAAGTCAGAAATCTTCCTTCCCGCCACTAAGAGTTGTTTTGTACCTTGTAGTGTACTCACTGTGTTTCTGCAACTGACATATTAAAGAATAATAGCCTAACACATTGGTTTAAAAAGACAATGACACATTAATGAACAATATGTTGATGTTCTGTGGGGGTAAAATACTCTAAAACAACATTACTTATTCTAACTATATTATTACAACCCATTTATATTCTAAATGACATATTGATAATGTGTCCTAAGCTCCTAGATTTTCTTTTAGGCTAATGCTGATATGCACAAATTCATTTATTTTTAATGAATGTCTAATTGTGCCTTTGCATTTGTTAAAACATGAACTGGGACACATAACACAGGGAATCTGGGCTTCCATCCTGACACCAGGGGGTGCTGAGTTTCTATTTCCCTCCGTGCATCATTGTGTGTTCTCCCAAATAACATGCTCTTCATGTATGCCGTGTGAGCACTGATTCAGAACCAAATAAACTGGACAGCAACAGTCTGGCCTGTAATGTCAGCTCCATGAACAGCAGTCATGCTCATTCTTCTGCCGATGAGAGTAGCCAGTCAGCAAACCTTTTATGTAACTCACCAGCCTCCAGTTTGCCAGCCCAGCTGTGGTTGAAATCCACAGCTGGGCTGGAAAATGCTGCTGAGGAAACATCTGCCATAAGGATACCCTTGTTCAAGACATCAAAACCAAACCTGGTCACTGGCCAATAGCAGCAGACTAAAGGTCAGCTCTCACCCTTTTAGGTGGGAATGTGTGTAAGTGTGTCAGTGTGAAGTAGGCTACATGAAAATGAAAAAAATACCACATTCACTGCTCTGTGGTTGCCAACTCCAAAACATATTCATCTTGTTTTTTACCCTGTTATTTTACCTTCTAAATTACGACCATGGCGCTTTTTTGTAATTGAAATCAGGCTGCCCTGTAAATACAGCAGTTTCAAATAGTTGCTGTACCCTACTGTGAAAATAATGAGCTATTTTTATTAACTATGAAACGCTACAAAGCTACAGAAGTGTACTTATGGGCTAAATCCTGCACCAAATATCTTAAACCGAATGCACACATCTCATTCATTTGTGGATCAACACCACAAAAAGCTTACAAACTGTCCCATATGGGCTCACCTTTTGTGCAGTATTTGTCTTTGACAGGGACACGTTTCTTGGAAAAATATTTTATCTTGTCTTTTTCTTCAGTTTCTGGCACATATATTTTATTATGATGACAACATAAAAATTTTGGGAAATATAAACAGTCCCTTGTACAGCCTGTTGTCTAAGAAAAGAGGCAGTTTTATGATGAGGAATACGTTTTATTTGCTCTGCAGTATGTGTCTTCACTGGGTGAATCTGACAAATTTGTTATCTCTCGTTTGGAAGATGGAAAACAAAGATGTTGCTGTAAAAATGAAGATAAGTCAAGAGGAATGAATGTGACTACAATCTACTGGAAAAATGTTCTTCTGTCTTCTTCTATCAAAAAGAAGATTTTCTTTTTTTAACACTAGTCTGTATAGCTTCCCTTTCTAATACAAACCATTAGCAATTAAATTACTTACCAACATCCAAATTAAATCTACTGTAATCCACTCTTCATTCCCGATGTAATCAAAAAAGTTACTGTATCAACACGATAATCAAACTAAATAAAAAAGAGCCATTATTCCAAAACAATTCATTAGTGCTGTTATGTAGATGGGTGTCTTCCTCTATTAGTGTTTGCATTCTCCATATATATGTTACACTAGCTTCACTTTATTCTCATTGGCCTTCTTCCTCTCTGACAAGCACCCCCACTCAGTTTCAGTCTATTTTCCTTTTGCTCCACCTCTCCTTGTGTTCCTTCTTCAACTCCAGATCTGCTGCTAAACCCGCTGTTCTCCTCCTGCAGAGTCTTCTGTTTATTCATTGAGGAGGTGACCAAGATAGAGATTTACTGCATCGTTTCCTTCTTTATTTTACTCATTTGTACTGGCTTCCTTTCATTTAGAAGAGTCTCACTTACTCAGAAACATCCCATTTGATTATTACTTGCATTTAAAGGGTAACTCCACCACTTTTTTCCTATCTTATACTTACAGTCAGCATTGGTTTCCTTTAACCATGACCACAGTCGTTTCCTAACCGTAACCAAGAAGTTAATACTGTAACCATGATGATGAAGGTTACCTAACCCTATAACAAAGTAGTAAAAGCGTTCTGTAAAAAAAGTGTTGTGTAAGATCAGAAAATAATTTTATTTTTTATAGGTGAGGTCGTCCTGCTGATGGGGGCATCAGATCAGAAGTGGTATTCCAGTGTTTAATGTGGAGTACTTGTTTACAAACTGGAAGTGTGGTGTTTGACATATCTACATTTACGAGGCACTGGAAAAACATCAGGATATAATAGCCTCTGCTACATCACTTTCCACCATTCTTTTTTCAATCCGTTGCTTGCCAGTCTAAATTGCACTGCCCTCTGTTTGTTTGTTTTTTATAGTGTCTGTCCCTGCTCTGAGTGGGTTTTCTTGTTGAGACAAAAACAAAATTCCAGGAGAATATCTGTTCTCCTCTTAGTCCTTGGTATTTTCTGCGAAGGCTTTATTCTCTTTAACCCAGTTACATTGTGCATTGCTGAATGGAGCTTTTAAACTCCAGAACTTGTATTGAGTTTGTTTGCTCCATCCAAGGTCGAAGACAATATAAGAGTTTCTGTTCCACGCTGGCCAGCTTAATCAGTTCGTTCCATGTTATTAGTCACAGTGAGCAAACACGTGATACCCATGTTGCTTTTTTTTTTCAGCCCATCCTGGTAAAAACTCAACATGGTCTTTATCTCCTTAACCTGCTCTTTCCTCTCTGGTTGAGCTTCGAAAAGAGATTTCTTCACTTAATAGAATTTCTTTTTTCCACCGTCCACCTGCAAGATCGTATAACTAACCTCCAATGTTTAGTTGTTCTCCTGTAGCAATTGAGGTCTACAAAACCCATCCAAAGGTCTCCTCCATATTGACTCACTCCAGCAGCAGTGGTTGCACACAAAAAAGCTCTTGAACCTCTGACTCCATCTCGACAGCCATGATGAGAAATTGGCCGGCTGAGCCATAAAAGTCCACTATATGTAGAGAGCAGAGTTGAGTGGGCCATTTTGGGCTCTGAGGCCTCAGACTGTTTGATCCTGAACTGTTCATATGACTCCTGAGATTTCTCTCGCAGGCTCAGGCTCGGTGAACGCAGCCACATCTATCAGCACTGTTGTACTTTCCTGAGACTGTGATTCTATTCTGAGTAGAACAACTAATAATGATGATGTGAAGGACTGTAAGATAAGAAAGTCATTATTAGCAAGTCAATATTATCTATTTTGGCTCAGTTTTTACACTGAGACGGCAAAAAACTCATTTATAAAAATGTTAGACCAGCACAAGCATTGACTTAGAATAATAGAATGAGAATCATGTTCACATTGGCATGACTGATATTCTTCCTCTGTCTTCCAATACTGTAGACGTAATCATAGAAAATTATGATAAAATAGAACATTTCATAGATGATAAATACTGTGTCCCCTTTGTCTTAGCAGCAACAAAAGCCAAACATTTGGAGTCCATGATAGAGGCCTCTGTTACATATATTCAGAATATGATTATAAAGTTGATTTTTCTTCTTTCTTCATCAAGGTCTTTTGACTGAGATGCTGACAATAAAATAAAAGGTAAAATATTTGGTTTTCTGCACCACTAAGAAAGGAGCATTATCCACGTTCTTCATTTTCTTTAAAAAAACAGGATTTTTTTAAACACCTAAATTAGATTACTGCTGATCTTAATTTGTTTTAATGATGAACCACAGGCTACTTCCTCACTGACTGATATTAAATAGTAAAACCTCTTTCAGCGGTGCAATTAAACATTGCTCTTTTTTCCTCATTTAATTTCCAAGTTAGATAAATCACATGCCTAAATTGGGGTCATGGTAACCTTAGAAAAAATTGTGTCCAATCATCCAACTTCCTCCTGTAACTACAGAGAGGCAGCTTCCCTGCTTAGAATTGACATCATCGAGGGGATTTGAGATATGTCCCCTCAAAATTGTTATAAATAAGTACAGTTGTTGCTGTGGAAACTAATACTCTAAAGCTTCCTTGAGTTTAACCAAAGTCTATAACTTTATCAGTATGTTTGAGTGAGAACCATGAAGTGATCAGAAGGGACTCCCTTTGGTTTTACAGGCTGCAGGATTTTCCAGTTTAAAATAATCTATGTTGGGAATAGCGGAATATGTGGACTCCACAGTCCAACACAATTTGCAGTGAAAATGTAAATCTACTTTGAACAAAAAAAGGAAGATCTGGTTTGGAACAAATGATACTTTCTTCCTAAAATGTTTTGTAGAATGTCTTTCAGCTCATTAAAAATAAGACTTACTTTTTTTGAAAAGATGTACCCATTAAAAATTAGTTTTTTTCTGAGTATCTGTGCCTCCTTTTTTGTCTAAAACCATGACATTCAATAGACATT